ACAAAGTTGTATCATATCACCCATCACCATGACAACTAAGAACAAACCTGCTTCTTACTCTCTCCCTCGGATACATCATTCCATGGCTCCCTAGTGCCTGCAGAATAAGCAAAATTTCCATACATGCCCAACCCTCTGCTCCTGGGCCCAGTGTACCAGGCTCTCTGTCTGGAGTGTGGGTGGGCTTTGTGGGCAAAGAAGCCATGTAGCTCTGCTGGAATCTACCATGGAGCTAACAGGAGCAGAGAGAAGCTGTGTGTGTTCCAGGATACCCTGCTCCCCTCTGATCTTGGTAGAATGGCACGTGTTCTCCACAGGGCAGCCTTGTTAGTGCTCCCCTCTCCCTACCAAACCAAACCTCCCCCAAAACCAAAGAGCTCCATGGAGAGACAGTGGCCTTCTGAAGAAAGAAGATGGGTCTGGAGCCCAGAAGGCGGAGCTCAGTGAGGCACCAGGCACTTGGGATCAGGGGACGAGATGATAAATAACTCCATAACCTGCTGTCTTCACAACTCCAAGACCAACAGGGCCTGAGCTCTCTTGACTGCAACCTGGACAAGCCAGGGCCCTGTGTCTGCCCAGGAGGCCTTCTAGGTTCATGTGGAATGCCAGAGAGTCTGTTTGTTACCAAGCAGAAACTGCACATTATCTCCTTGTCTTCCGTGAGGCTGTGATGGAGGCTGGACCAGCCCTGGGATCCTCAAGGGTCCAACCGAGCTTTGTCAAGGACCCAGCAACAGAAGAGGACTGTACGTTGGTGATTTCCTTATTCACTTGTCAAACTCGGCTTCCCTCGAGGTGAGAATGAGTTCGTTGGCTTGAATCTGTTAGGAATGGCCTGTACAGATTCAGACTGATGTTGTGGCAGGGGGAGATGACTGGTTTCCACAGCAACACAAGAGTCTTTTTAATTCTGCTCTGCAGCCCTGATGCTGCACACTGAGAGGCCAGAGCCACAGACCCACCCCCTCTAGGGCTAGGCTGCATGCCTCAGAGGCCGCCATTTCCACATCTTCAGGTTTCCCATTTCATTTTCTTGGTCTCCACAAAATGGCTGAGAAGCCCACAGCTTTGAAGACTCAAGTGCTCCGAAGAGGTGCGTCTATCCAGGGCATTAGCGGTCAGTCATCCAAGGCCATCCCTATTCTAAGGTGAAATGTTTCTTACAAGTACCTTGCCACGTCCTCTGTAACCTCAGCCTCTTCGAGAGAGGGAAGATAGTCAGTCAGTCTCGACTCCACTCACCAGGTGCATAACTCAATCTCAACCTCCTCCCTCAGCGGACTATTTCCTGTTCTCCAGCTAACAGCTTGTAGATCGCTGAAGTCAAGCAATACAGAGAGAAGCCTGGCCTCCTGTGGCCCTGGGTTCGGGATGTTTGGGTTTCCTGTAAGCTGCTGCAGGGCAGCCAACCTTTCTCCTTCTGAGCATAGGGTGGACTGTGACCCCTCTAGAGTCTATCCCCATCCAGGCAGTACTCAAAAGCCCACTGAAGTTTAACAGGAACTCCCAACTGCCTGGAGTCAGTATCCATGTCTCTACAGCATCAATAAGCCAGGTTCAAAGGCTGCTGGGAAGGCCACAGCTTTCATTGAGATCCTAACACTTCAGAGGAGGCCAGAGTCACCAACTCAGTCCATGAGACTGGCTGGATGATCTCTTCGCAGTCCAAAAAAACCTGACCTCTCTAGAAGAGAGGCAGAACCTGAGGGCAGCAGAGGAGCTAGAATTGTCCATCTGCTGGAGAGACCTAGGACTATGCTTTAACCAAGCCACACAACCTGGAGCTCTCTGTACCTTTGCTGTCCACTGACACTCCTTTGGGAGAGGGTTTCTGTGGTCAGGTTTGCATTGGAAGCAGTGAAGCAGCTAGGCGCTACCCCGTGCCAACAATGGTGGGAACCTAGGAGATGTGACCAAGTCCTGAGGACACGTTTCCTGGGATAACAGCCCCAGAGCCAATAGAGCCACAGCTCATCACATACAACCCATAAGAAGGCATCCCTCCTCACGGGTTTAAAAGGTTGGGGAAAAAAAAATAAAAAATAACTCGTGAGAACTATGTGTTTTTCCAGGGTTGGCACCCAGCCAGCCCTTTGCAGAGAACTTGTCTTCACCAGCAGGGTGGAGGGCTGAGAAGAGGACGTGGCCCACGGAGCCTGAGAGAGGGGCTGTCTGGCCCTTTAGGAAAGCGGCAGCCTGGTGGGATGGTCCGTGCTGTGTATCCGCGGGGGCTGCTGTCCTGTCTCAGCCGAAACACATGGAGCTATTGCAGAGAGGGGATTCTGTAGATGCTGTGCGCAGTAGCATTCCCTTATTGTGTACAACACATGAGGAAGATGGCCAGGGATGACTAGGCAGGATGACCTGCCTGTAGTGGACAGACCTGAAGACTATAGCTGAGGTCTTCTTGAGTTAAAACCCTCAAGGGCAACAGTATCAGCATGTGCCGGAGACTCCAGACAGACGTTTATATCCCTGTCGTCCCGTGTGACTGTTACAGAGACAGAAACTCTTATCCCCTGCTGGCATCTCTTCGAGCATTAGCCTTGGGGAACTTTTGTGAGCCGCATGTGCCCTGAGCAGAGAGCCACACCATGAGGCAGAAATTGGCACTTCCGTACATTGGGTGATTTTGCTAGTCCTCAGTGGGGGCCTTATTGCCTGCATCCTAGTAGCCTCAGATTGGGGGTTATTTAAGTTCTTTGTCCCAACCTTGTCCTTTTCCTGCACTTTCCTCTGTGACCAGTTTGGGGAGTTAGCAGATTTTCTGAGATGACTGTACCCCAGACGCCCAGAGATTGGGCTGTGCCCTATTACAACACTGAATCCACCCAGCTGGCGGTGGCCAGAGGAGCAACCGAAAGGAGTGGTCAAGCTTCACGGCAACTTGCGCCATGCAGGCATGGACACTTGGGCTCATGGCAAACATCTCCCAGGCCCATCTGGGGCCAGGTTCCTAACTGCAGGGTGATTTATCCTACTTCAAGTGTTGAGAGACAAGAGACCCGAGGCTTGAGCCACAATGCCAGGCTTCCTTAAGTAGGAAAAGCAACCCCATAACCAAATATGCTTCCAGTAAGAGGCAAGTGTGACTTATCTAGCAAGTAGGACAGGGTGACTCCCAGAACAGCAGCAAAAGCTGTGACCAGAAGCATATCTGACTATGCCGTGCCTCAGTTTCCCCTCCCATAGAGCAGTGGTTCTCAATCTGTGGGTTGAAACCCCTTTGGGTTTGCCTATCAGATATCCTGCATAATAGATATTTACATTACAATTCATAACAGTAGCAAAATTATAGTTATGATTTTAAGGTTGGGGGTCACCACAGCATGAGGAACCGTATTAAAGGGGTGGCAGATTAGGAAGGGTGAGAATTACTGCCACAGAAAAACTATTTTGTGTTGATAAAGAACATGGACCACCGTGTAGGCCATCATGGCACCTCTACCTCTAGTGCTACCCCAGAAATCAGATCTCAAGTGATGCCCTCCTTGGGCAGCTCCAACCCTAGGCCCTGGAAAGCTACAGAGTGGTATGTGTGACAGCTATGAGTGTGTGGAAGTCACTAGTCCAGTACCAGTATTCGTGAAGCCGGGTTCTGGGCTTTGATTCTGAAAATTTCAGCTAGGGCCCAACTACTACACAAAAACCAGTTCTTGGTTCTGGATATTCCAGGAAGAGGCTGAGAGACATCCCATCACTCAAGTTGTACATAGAGTCACAGAATAGCCTGAAGTCCTGGACCACCTGTGATGAAGCTGGAGCCTTGAGCAGGAGGCAGGTGTCAGAGTCTGCTCTAGTTCAGAGCCCCCACACCCACACCACTCCTTCTGCCCCCCCTTATCTGCCCACTCAGCCATGACCGTCAGCCAGGATCTAGCAGGAAGGGACCTTGGCTGGCCTTCAGAGAGTTCAGAACACCTGGAGGTCTCCATGACTTATAAAGGGCTGAGCAGGCAGAATTCCCTCCGGGTCTTGAGTCCCTTTCTGAGGCTCAGGGCTCATTCTCCATGTTCACACTGAGCTGTGGGACAGAAGACAGTTGGCCACACCCCACGCAGAAGTTACACACCACAGAACTTACGAAACCAAGAACTACAATGTCTCGGGCTCTAATTCTGCCTTCATGGTTCTTACCAACCTCTCTGCAGGAACTGTAGCTTCTACCCTTTAAACTCTAGGGTAGCAAGAACCTGGGGACTCTCTGGAATAGGCATTAACTTTGAGAGCCCTTGGAAGAGCAGAGTAGATGGGTGGAGCTGAGTCAGGTGGCAAGGAAGTTAAGTGACCCCCCAAACAGGTGTCTCTCAATCAAAGTGATTAACCTTGTGAAAAATCTAGACCTGACCTCAGGCAGCCAGCATGGGGCAGGTCATCCCACCACGGTTGAGACCCTGTGCTCTGGTCTCTGACACACTCTCTACACTTTCTTTCTCAGCACTCAGTTCCTTTGGCCCAGGCTGGCAGAAGGGGTGTCAACAATGGGATTAAGAAAGACACTATTTGCTCAGCCAGGCTCTGTCCACAGGCAGGACCAGCCCTGCTGACTCATGCTCAGATAGACTTCACCTCAGTTTTGGCATATTTGGATTTGAGAAATATTTTAATACCAGGATTGTGAAGATTCTTCCAAAATCAATTTCCGTTTTCTCCTTCCTGTTCCTGGAGCCCTCAACAGACAGGGATCTCTTTTAAAAAATGAAATAACACCATCCTGTCCTCATTTTGGGGGAGATGCTTTAATGTGAGTTGTCTGAATCTGTTGGAAGCAAGCAGCAAACCCTAGTCGGTTGTCTCTTTAAATCGACTCTGCAGTGTGACGGGCAGCGGGCCGCCGGGCTGGGAAGAACCATTCCCGCTCTGCCGCAGGGAGCCAGGGTACGGCGGGCGGCGCTGCCGCGGTCCGCGCCTCCCCCAGTCCCCATGGTTACAGCTCCTGCTTCCCGGCCGGTCCTTCATTCCCCTGGCTGCTACTGCAGAAATCAGGCGCGCAGGCGGCTGGCGTCCCCCAACCCAGAGCTGGAAACTGCCTGCAGAGAGCGCATTGGATGCCTGCTCTTCTGGGTTCTGACTCACTCCCTCCGGGTGCAGAGCTCCGTCCCCAGCGCAGTGCTCTGGCCAGGCTGCAGCCCTGCAATCTGTTGATAACTCCACTCACAAGCTCCAGTCGGATGCCTTTCGTCATAGCACGCTGTTCCCTAGCACAAGGGACATGCCACATCTCGCCTATGAGAAGCGTGAGACCTGTGCCTCTTCAGCAGCTTTTACCGAAATAGGTGAGAAGTTGGGTGGCTTCCTCCTGGTGTCTGAGAAGGGAAGGGGAGGGGGTGGTGCTTCTGGTCAAGCCACCGGCCCGCCACAGTGTCCACTCATGAGAGCCATTTCTGGGGCAGAAATGCTGTGAGGGGTTCGGTCACTCTTGGTGTTGGAAGGTGGATTCTGAATAACTTTGGGTAAGTCTAGGGCTTGGAGCTCTAGGAAGACCACATAGTTCCAGCACAGGCAAGGATGCCCATGTGGGAGATGCTAGCCCTCAAGGTCCAGCCACATCAAGCAGCAGAAGCTTCTGCCTGCCAGGTCTGCCCGGGGACTGGGAGATTTATTCAGGTTTATTTGATTCTCTTGATTTAAATTGATAATGTTGGTCTGGCTTGTGTAGCCTGAAATAACCAAGTAGCATTCTTACATCGGGATGGGGAGTAGGGACTACTCCAGGGATGGTTTCTGGCTGCCGGAAGGGGGGTTTCCTCCAGTCCCAAAGCTATGGTTATCGCCACTCTCTGAATGCCTCAGATGGAGCCTGAGCCAGGGACTCCAACAGGCTGGCCAGGTTGATAGGAGCCAGAAAGGGGCACACTTGGGAAGGAACTATATGCTCCCTGAGTGTACCCCCTGAATGTACCCGGGCACTGGCCTGCAACATGCACTGTCTTTGCAGGTGGGTCAGCCTTCAGCTCCTCAGCCATCCTGCCACAGTCACTCTGAGGTAGCCTTCCCAGGAGCTCCACTGTGACTGCTGTTTGGGACTTGACCTTCCAGATGGCCATGGAGGCTAGAGGGGAGAAGGGCGCAACATAGTGGTCACTGCCAGCAACCCCACCGGTGTTCTTGCCTCCCTAACTCTGCAGGGCTCATGGTGAGTACACAGCCCAAGGGGCTGACGGCTCAGGGCACCCTGCATTCACGCCGGATCAAGAGCTACCACCCTCTGTTAGATGGAGGAGGCCCGGGCAGGAAAGTAACTTATGGGGTAGTTAGGTAGTTAGCAACTGTCCAGCATGTGCTCTTTCCTGGGGTGGGAGAACTCGATGGGGGTGGGGCTGAGGGCAGCAGGGTCTGGCTGCCCTGGGTCTCTGGCTGCCTGCCAGGGTCTGTCTGCTCCCTGGCTCACTTGGTGCTGTTCATACTAATTAGCTCAAGGCACACGGCAATGTCGAATCATTTAATCAGCCGAGTGCCATCCATCCGCGGGGCTCTTGTCCATGCCCTGGGGAACCTTGTCTAGTCCCAGACAAGGTTCCCTCCCACTGAGGGGGCCTCAGCCAGGTCAACCAGGCCCTTCCAACTGTCCCTGCTTCTCAGAAAGTCCAAGGGCTTTGGCAGCTACGGCTACAACAGGAGCGGGGAAGGTGCTTCTCTCACTAGAAGGGAGTAAGGACCGTGTGGTCAGTGGGTTGGAACAGTACCCAAGACATGGTGGGGCCCTTACGGAAGGCTCCCACAAGCTTTTATTGTGGTTGCTGTCTATCTGTCTCCAGGAAGGCTGACAGCCGAGTAAATAATGTATTGTGTATACTCCCAAGGGACAGCTGACAGGGCAGCTCGGGCTGGGGTGCGTGCTGAGAATGTCAATGACCACCAGGAGAACGTGTCCATAGCCCAGACATGGGCATGGATGCTCAGTGCAGACCCGTGTGTCCGCCTAGTAAGGAGCCTTCTGTCTGAGTCACTGCCTCACTTGCTTCTTGCTCCATTCAAAAATGCCCAAGGAGAGAAACCCCTGATATCCAAAGCCACGCCACTTCAGCGTTGTTGGCTGAGACGAAGCTCCTGGCTATGCTCTCTCCTGACCCCAGCAAGGTTACCTGTTCCAGGCACTGGCAGCTCTCAAAGGAGAGCAGCGTGGGCTCAAGGGTCCCTTGGCTTCTGACACCCTCCCCTGATGCCCCCCCGGGTGCCACACCCAACATGGCTGTCAGCCCTAGGTTGGAATGGTTTGTGGCTTCCCTTCTCCAGCCCATGATGTTTGCAAAATGGAAACCTACCCTTGGCAGATGGTAGATAAGCTGTCTGGAGCTTCGGGAGGCAGGGGTGGCTACCGTGTCTGCCCCGTGGGACCCACTGGGCAGAATTAGCTGCTAGTTCGGCCCCACCCTCCCCTACTCCCTTCAAGCCCCTGACCCTTGCCTACACTCATCTCCCTGTGCAAGAAGTGCCCATCCTCTGCTTCCCCTGCTTCATGTGCAGCGCTCACAGCAGCTGCCAGCAGCCCTGTGGGGATCTCTGTTCCACACAAGGGCCATGCCAGACTTCAGCTGCCCAGGGCTGTCCATTTAAGAGCCCATACTGTAAGTGCCTCCCTGACAGCTTGGCCCAGAGTTTGTGGACTTTCAGGGGTTTTATCACTATCACCTGATAGTTAGCAGATGAGAGTATCTCAGAGACACAGAGAGTGGACAGCCCGAGGTGCCACACCTTCTGCCTGTCTACAGTCGGTGGTGCAGGTGCTGGGCAGTTCACCTGGGACCTAGAGAAAGAACGCTCTGTGGTCCTGAGACCGTGTGACCTTAGCTGATCCTCCATGGCTGTACCTTCACCTTGCCTACCGGAGCTTCTCCAACACGCATGTCCAGCAATGAAACACCCACTTCCTGCTCCCAGGATTAAGACACAAACACATACCCTGGTCTTCTGAACCACATACCAGGGCTTAACGAGCACTGGATTCAAGCCTCCTTCACTTAGGCCATGCCATGCTCCTCCTTCTAAACATTATCTTTGTCTGATTCTCCCTATGGCCATGTCCAATGTGTGAAGCCAAGGGCCCCTGTGTCACAGCAGGTAACAGACTCAGAATCAATCCAGCTCGTTCCCACAATAGGTACTGCTGTTTACTTCCAGCAGACACCCAGACATGGTTGACTTTGCCCTCTGTCACCTGCAATTCTCACAGTTAGCACCAAGGCCTACTCTCGCAGGGAACAAAGCGGTACCTGCCAATGACAGGGGGAACTGTTGAGCACCTGCCTTCTCTCTGCTGTTCCCTGAGAGCATCCAGATTTAGTGGGCTAACTAAGGCACTTTCCACGTGTCTGGCTCTTGTTTTCTGGCAACCAGAGGTGAGGAACTAAACAGGATAGACTGACGTGGCAGACATATTCTGTCGTGGCGTGGGATATGTGGTAGAGAATAACGTGGTACAGAGCATGCCATGTAGAACGGAGCGGGTTGGGTACAGGATGTGAATTGGTGTGGCCCAGAGCAGGGTTATAAAGTGTATGGAAGAAGATGGTGTAGTGTGGGGTCCGTGGGATACAATGTGTGGGATGTATGGTATGGAATGTGTGGTGTGGGATATGTGTTGGATGTGTGGTGTGGAATGTACGGTGTAGGCTTTGTGGTGTGGAATGGATGGAGTGTGGTGTCAGATGTGTGTTATAGACGTGTGGCGTAGAATTATGGTCCTGGGTATGTGCCATAATCGTGTGGTGTATATATGGAGGATGGAGTATGCGGTGTGGGATATGTGTTGTGGGTGTGTGGTGTGGAATGTACGGTGTAGGCTGCGTGGTACACAGCGTGTGACATTGGATGAACAGTGTAGCTACATGGTAAGGGTTGGGTGGCGTTAGATAGTGTGGTGTGGGACTGTGGTGTAGGACTGTGGTGTGGGACTGTGGTGTGGGACTGTGGTGTGGGATGTGTGGTGTCGGACTGTGGTGTGGGACTGTGGTGTGGGACTGTGGTGTGGGACTGTGGTGTGGGATGTGTGGTGTGGGACTGTGGTGTGGGACTGTGGTGTGGGACTGTGGTGTGGGACTGTGGTGTGGGATGTGTGGTGTGGGACTGTGGTGTAGGACTGTGGTGTGGGACTGTGGTGTGGGACTGTGGTGTGGGATGTGTGGTGTGGGACTGTGGTGTGGGACTGTGGTGTGGGACTGTGGTGTGGGATTGTGGTGTGGGACTGTGGTGTAGGACTGTGGTGTGGGACTGTGGTGTAGGACTGTGGTGTGAGACTCTGGTGTGGGACTGTGGTATGGGATGTGTGGTGTGGGACTGTGGTGTGGGATGTGTGGTGTGGGACTGTGGTGTGGGACTGTGGTGTGGGATGTGTGTTGAGGGATGTGTGGTGTGGGACTGTGGTGTGGGATGTGTAGTGTGGGACTGTGGTGTGGGATGTGTGGTGTGGGATGTGTGGTGTGGGATGTGTGGTATAGGACTGTGGTGTAGGGTGTATGGTCTGGATGTCACTGTGGGACTGAGGTGCTGAGCAGTGTGATATCAGATGTGTGGTGTACGCTGTGTGGTGGGAAGTGGAGTGGTATCGTGTGGGTTGTATGGTGTAGAATAGCGCAGCACCAAATGGTGTGGGAGTATGGTATGGGATGTTCGGGACAGGCTAGTGGGGTGTGGAGTCTGTGGTGTCGAGTCATACGTTATGAGATGTATGGTAAAGTATGGTGTAGCATGAAATGTATGGTACGGGATGTATGGGGTGGGTGTATAACGTGGACTGCTTGGTGTGAGAGGCATGATATACAATGGCATGGCCGTGTAAACCGGAGTGGTGGGTTATATCTACTCAAAATTCAGGAGGCTGAGGCATGCATCTAAGGCCAGCCTGGGCTACATAGAGAGACCCTGTCTGGAAGACAAAATAATGATGTGGCATAGCATGGTATTGCATGAGACAGGACCAGTGTGGATGGTGTGGAGAATGACGTGGACTGGGTGGCCAGGAGTGAGACGGCAAGGGATGAGGTAGCCTGGTGTGGTGGGGCATGGCAGCATCACGTCGTGGGATAGCCTAGGACAGAAGGGCGTGGTGTGGAGCTGCAGGATGTGGACTTGTGCGGTATGGGATGAAATGGTGTGGTTTATCGACACGGCATGACGCAGGATGGTCTGGAATAAAATAGGATAAAGTAGGGTGGGAAGGATTAAAGTGGCCTTATGTAATGGGGCGCCCCCATGGGTGGGATCTAACGATTAATTGGTGCTGTGGGAACATGTGGCACTGGGTAGCGTGATGTGGGGTGTCACGGTGTGGGGTGACAAGGTGCGGAGCGCTGGGACATGGGGTTGATCCCTGGCTCCCTGTCATTGTAATATTTGAGTCTGGCGATCAGGTGCTACTCCTATCTGTTGGTTGTGACAATGCTGTGGCCTTGCATTGTTCTAAGCACTATTAATAGCAGTAGCAGCCACGGAAGCTGGCACTCCCACAGAGAACTCGGTTGGTCCTCCCTTGCTTTGGCCCGGAGCTTACCTCACTGCCACTGGACGGTCCTTAGCCACATTTAACAGGGACACAAGGCCTCACCTACTCCCTACTTGGGGTCAAGGATCCCAATACATGACATATTCACAACAACCTTTATGTCTTCAATTTCCACTTTCAAAAAAGACAAGAGAGGGCACTAAGACCGACAGAAGCCAATAACCCCGAGTCCAATCCCCAGAACCCGCATTAAAATGAAAGGAGAGGAGAGAACCACTCCTTGAAGTTGCCCTCTGGCCTCCACACAGGCCCCACGGCATGTGCATACCCCCACACACTGATAATAACCAATTAAATCAATAAATATATAATAAGACAGGCATGATTTAAATATCAAAGGCACTGGAAAGGTATATAGAGGCCAAGACCTCAAGCCCTGGGCTCTGCAGTCTACAGAACACAATCAAGCCCCAAGGTACTGCCTTCCTCCCACAGTGCTGGAGGGTCACAAAGGCTGGGTTGATGGTGGACACTTTCAGATGCACAGGGAAGCTTTGCCTGTGTGAGGTCAGCTCGGGGATAACAGGTGAGGGGACACCTGCAGCTCTAAGCTACAAACAGTATATGAACCCAAATGTGATGAGTTCATTTCAGCCTAGCCTGACTGCGCCGCTTAGGAGTCAGCAGATGGCCCAGCCCCGCCTCCCCTTACAGGCAGGTGAAAGAGGCCTGTGTTGAGAGCAGCTCAGAACTTTGCTCACAGGGTTTGGTGGGGTTTGGGGTTTTTTTTTGTTTGGTTTTTTTTTTTTTTTTTTTTTTTTTTTTTTTTTTTTTTTTTGTTTTGTTTTGGTTGTTTTTTTTTTTTTTTCTTTCGCTTTTTGTTTAATTTAGTTTGGTTTGGTTTGGTTCTTGGTTCTCCTCTTTCTTTTTGTTCATTCCAAGTTCTGAATGACTAGACATCTCAGAGCTACCTTTCTGTCAGGTAGAGCTGTTGCCATTGACTCAACAATTCCCCTTAAACTATTCACACCGAGAAAGCTACCATTAGGCCAGAAGGAAGTTCCCATAATACTCTTCAAAATGTCTTTCTCATGATTTCAACATCCCCTGTATTCCTCTAAAAAGAAAATGACAGCAAACTATATTCGTGTAATATCCAGTTGGTGTTTTGAGCAAATGAGTGACTTACCTTCTGCTTTTCCCATGGAAGGCTGATCGATCAATAAGGCCCAGTTATCACTGAAAAGACAGGCAAAGACATGCGTCAGGATCTAGCAAGACCAATCTGGGTTGGCACAGAACCAGAAAAGAAAACAGAACCAAGAAGAAGAAGAAGCAAAGTAACCAAGAAGAGCGAGCACAGTGACTCACACGGGTGATTCCGGCACTTGAGAAGCTGAGGCAGCTGCAGAGTAAGACCCTGTCACAAAACAAAGTCAAACAAAGCCACAGATGGAGATGAGGAAGACTACCCAGGAAGACTAAGTAGGAAGAAGAACCAAGGCTGAGGAGATGACTCAGTGGGTAAGATAACTGGGCTGTGCAAAACACAAGAGCCTGAGTTCAGACCCCACCACCCATCTAAAAATCCAGGCATGGCCATGTGCTCCTGGAACCCCAGTGGCGTGCAGGGCAAAGACAGGAGGATTGTCTAACTGGCCGCAAGGCTAGCTCCAGGTTCAGTGAGAAACTCTTTCCAAGGAATACAGCAGGCAGTGATAAAGCAGGACACTTGCCCGACTCCTCTGGCTTCTGCACGCAGGCAGAGCCGCCTGCTTCTGCACATAGATGTATGCACACATCACACTCACATACAGACACATACATGCACACACACACAGACACAGAGACCCACAAAAAAAATTTACAGGAGGGAAGAAAGGAGGAGAGGGAAGAAGAAAAGAGGTGGGAATAAACCAGAAAGATCCAGTTGTTCCCTCTATATTCAAAACTCCCAGGTCAGAAAGCAATGTGACCAGACCTGGCATCCCCATTTTCAAGAGATTCCTTTTCTGCTTGTCACTGTCACCAAGAGCTGTCATGTTACTTAGCTGAATTCTCTTCCTCCCTCCATCCTGTCTTTGGTCTTGTGTAGCTTCCTGGCTCGTCCCATTGGCAGAACAAGCCTAAAGGATCCATCAGCTAAAACAAGATGAAAATGTGAGAGGAAGCCATGACTTATGACAGGATGCCTGCTGTTGTATGTTGGGGCAGGGGTCTTAGTCACTGTTCTGTGGCTGTGAAGAGACACCATGACCCAGGTGACACTTAGAAAAGAAAACATTTTACTGGGGGCTGGCGTAGAGTTTCAGAGGTTTAGTCCATTATCATTATGGCAAGGAACACGACAACAGGCGGGCATGGCTAAGAGCTACATCCTGATCCATAGGTGACCCTGGGTTTGGCAGAGGATTTTGCAACCTCAAAGCCTAGCCTCAGTGACACACTTCCTCCAATAAGGCCACACCTTCTAATCCTTCTAATCTTTTCAAATACGCCCACCAAGGTGGAGTACTCACCAGTCTGTTGACTGAGCAGCCATCTTAAGAGAAAGGGACTCTGGAATTTCCCAGTGAGCAGAGGCATGCCACAGTGTTTTCTGGAACAATCAGTCCACCCTACAGGCAATGCAAACAGTATGTCACCTGGACCTAGATGACCTGTCTGAGGGTTCTCTGGGGTGGCCCTTCTTTGCCCTGTTACTGAATCTCCCATTTATTTTCTTACTTAGTGCTGAGAGCATCACTCAACAGCTCTGGTGGGTAGGAAGGGAGTGTTACCCCATGGTCAATGAACAGAAAAGGGAAGCTTGACTCTGGAGGCCCCCAGTCTCTCTAGGGTGTGGGTGTTTACTAGGCCCTGCACTCTGACAGTACAATCTTCATGCTCTCATGGGAGAAGGGAGGAGACTTCCAGGAATCAGGGTGCTGCCTCTTTTCTCCCCTGACTTGGTATTATTCAGCTCTGTGACAGCAGGGTGGGTGGATCTGTATCACTATAATGAGATTATAACAAGCTCAGCAGCCTCTGGAGTATCAACATGACCTCCACACCAGACCTCATGGATGCGGAGCTCCTGAGGAATGTGAGGAGTAGCTGAGTAGCCGGCAGTCAGGAGCGTGTGGTGACCAGCATGCTAGCTGCAGTTTGTGGGAGCAAGCAACACAGCTGGCTGGGAGACAGATTGTGGTCCTTTGAAAGCTCTTATGTGGTGACCTGGGAGCCAAGCTCGGCTCACCATCCTGCCCCAAAGAATATTCTGGCTGCACAACGGCAGAGGGACTCTTTGTCCTCAAGCCAGGCAGCTTCTTCCTGACCCCATGTCAGATCCCTGGAATCTTGCCCAAGGAACATTTGCACAGTAGACTCCTTGAGAGGAACTTGCCCATGTGTGAACTTTAAAATATGAAATGCATCTCCATTTTGCCTTGCCTACTTTGAATTTTAAATGTCACCTCTAAAAAATGCAGAAAGGCACAGGCGATCATTCCGATACAAACAAGCAGGAAGCCGAATCAAACCTCACTTCTTCCCTAGCTTACTGGTCATCCCCTGGGTCAGCCTGCCCTTAGTCTCTGAGGTCTGTCTTCACATAGGTGACTCCACCTCCTCAGATCTGATCTCCCAAGCTTACAAGGGACTAAAGAGTTAGAGGCCACCCCTGTGAATATCCAGCTGAGACTGAGCCCCTCAACCCAAGGCTGTGTGACCCTGTCTGGACAGCAGCCTTCAAAACACATCACTGCGTAGCAAGCTGACTCTCTGAATATCCTGTCAGCTCACTAGAGACAGTTCTACTTTTTCCATTTGGCCTCCCATGAGGCTTTGTTGTGTGAATTCAAGCCATAGAGAGGAGTATCCAAGTGCAGGTGTTCCTATAGGGCCTGGAGATAAGAATGTGGAACACCGCTACCAACTCAGAGCATCAGGGACACCGCAAGCACTGCTTTGGTCAGATCTGAGCCCTCTTCCTTCCTTGGCTGTCCCTAGATCCTTCCCATCACAAGAGTCTGATACTGTCAAGAAGGCAAGCCCCTGTGACACCCCCACACCACATATACACAGTGACAATGACCCTGAAGAGGGCCATGGAAGACTTGCAAGCAACAGGCCTTCGGGATCATTGTAGAGTTTTCCTTCCAGGATGAGACCTAGATGCAAGGGAAGGACCGTACTGGGAAGCTCGCTTGCACTGCACTTTCTCTCTCATGCTTTCTCTCTCTCTCTCTCTCTCTCTCTCTCTCTCTCTCTCTCTCTCTCTGTCCCTCCCTCACTAGTAACAACGGCCAAATTGGGTCAAAACCCTAAGACCCCCCCATAAAAAGACCTACGTGCACAAAAACCTCGAAATGTCACTTAGGCCCAGTTGAACCAGAGCTCTTAAGGCCCCAGGGGGCACCCCACCTCCCAGCAGCACAAACTCATCAGGTGTGTGGGCACCCTGATCTCATCAGCAAGCGTACTTTCCATGACTCAAGAGTTGGCTTCTGTCTGACAGGAAGCAGCTGAGCCGAACAGACTGAATAATGGCCTTGGTGCTCAGAACACCATAATTCATAGCAAATGCAAATACCCTGCAGACAGACCATAAGGAAGGACATGTGAGCTCCCAAAGAGACCAAATGTCCTAGGGGAGGAAGCACTACACTGGGTCTGGGACCCTCTGCTCAACACACTACAGGAAGAGTTTAGGTTTTGAAGTCAGGGTCACTCAGGCAGTCTTAATGGAGGCTCTTGTTATTTGGAGGGTGTTGCTTGGAGTCTCTGGCCATGGTCCTAAAGATACCCATGGGCAAATGTCCTAAGTATACCACATAACTGAGCTGAGCCATCAGACGAGATGTGGGGTGTCCAGGAAGAAAGGGCCAGTTGAAGACACACACCTTGGGGAAACAGACTCAACCCTTTCAGAAACTGCCATCCCATGACAGGTGCCTTGTCCTCACTCAGACACAGGCTCCTGCAGTTGTTGTCTGGTCACCACTTCTAGAGGCTTCCCAGGGCAAAGACGCATGGTCCTATGGGGCATCTTTCCTTAGCTGGGCCACCCTGTGGCTATCCTGACTGCCGAGTTCCCTTCCCAGAGTCCAGTATGGAAAAGTTTCCTAGTCAAGGAGGCGAGGATATGGTGGCAGCCAAGGGAGAGCACAGTGTGCCTGCACTAGGGATAGCTTTCCAGTGTGTTGTGTTATGTTCATTCCAGTGCCTGCACTTTGAACTACCAGCGGCCTATAGCCTGAGGGGAGTTCTGCTCCTCCAGACAGTGAGATCCAAAGGCTAGGGTGAAAATCTGTGAGCTCAGAGATTTAGAATAGCAACTGACTAGCTTCCTTTGCTGCCTTCCACACAGCCGGAACTAAAAGAAAAAAAAAAGCACCCACACTAAGCTCCTCCCTGCTACTTCCTGTCAACCAGTTGTTAACCCCACCTCTCTGAGTCCAGGTTGATTTTGTTTAATCAACACAAATGCAACACATCTTTACACAGTTAACAAATGCAGCAGGAACAAATGTAACACATCTTTGCCTGGTTTAAAGAAATATTCCACAACATAATGCCTCATTAGGAAATTGTCATCTGGGAGGGGCACAGGCTCCATGCATCCTAATTCTTGAGCCCCATGTCTTCTGGAGAGTTGTTCATGTGCCAACATGTCCACACCTACCCCTCAGACTTTCTGCCCTGCACCAGCTATGGCCCAGAAGCGTGAGGCTTATGAGAACACTGTGGGCACTAGCCCTGGCTGCCCACTGACCAGCTGTCCCTTCAAAGTCAGAGACTTGACCCTCTTGCCCAAACATATTGGCCAGGACTCTGACCCCAGGGCCCCAAGGATTTCTGAGCGTTTCCATCCCAGACATTCATTCCTCTGTGTTTCCCTACCAAAGGGCAGCCATGCCTTCATTTGAACTGTAACCTTGAACCTTGTTCCTCAGTTCTGATACACAGTAGAGTGGGTGAAGGTAGAAAAGGTCCCGAGGCCATACCAACTGTTGATGACAACTCCTCTTTCTCCGTCTGCTCAGGTCAATGCCACTGTCTTAGGGCTGCTGAAACATGATGCAGAATTCCCCAGGGAGTCGTGCAAAAGCATAATGTCAAGGAGTGTGGGGTGTAGGGAGTGGGCTGGGGAGGCTGAGTGTCCTATACCATCTCTAGGGGCAGCAATGGCACACACAGTGGAAGCTGGCGTCTGCCCGCCCTCTGCTAGGGATGTGGATAGAAAGAAGGCTCAAGGCAGGTGTGGGCACTGTGGAAGTGGTCCCTCTGGGAGCTGCTCTCAGAGTCGTGGGAAGATGCTCTCAGCTGAGCAGCCTTGGGAAGACACCAGTCCCAGGTGGGCTCCCGGGATACTATGCCCTACACCCTGCATGAGTAGCCATTGAGCAGAGTCCCTTTCAGTCTGATCCCCCCTGAGACACCTGAGAAATCACTTGGGGAATCCCGGCCATATCGGTCACTCAAGTCTTTGCTTCCTTTCCAGGATTTGAAGACTGTCCTCTCCCTGCCCCAGTACCCAGGGGAGTTCCTGCACCCCGTGGTGTATGCCTGCACCGCGGTCATGCTCCTGTGCCTCCTTGCCTCGGTCATCACCTATATCCTGCATCAGAGGTAAGGGAGCCCTCCTCACCCTCCCTGGAACAGTGGCCACTAGGGCATAGTACTGGAGAAAACCCAATCCTTCCATCCCAGGTCTCTGTCTTCTTTTTGCTGTTGTTGTTGTTGTTGCTAATTTATTTTTATTTTATGTGTGTAAGTGCTTTGCCTACATGTATATATGTGTTCTGTGTGTGTGTGTGTGTGTGTGTGTGTGTGTGTGTGTGTGTGTGTGCTTGGTGCCCAAGGAGGCCAGTAGAGGGTGCCCGATCCCCCAGAACTGGAGTTAAGAATGGTTATAAGCCACCATGTGGGTGCTGAAAACCAAACCAGAGTCCTCTGAAGAGCAGCAAGTGCCCTTAACTGCTGAGCCATCTCTGCAGCCCCCACTGAGCCTTCTTAACATCAGCCCCTCTGTTCTTGTAACACTGTGAAATAAGTCCATCCTGAAATGGATGCATGTTGACTCTAGCATCCTAAGAGGCATGGGCAGGCTCTTGCAGAACCTTGAAGTTCCTCTCTACTGTGCCTTTTTATTTAGGGAGGGCCTTCTAGACAGAGGCCTCCTTCTGAGTTCTTTTCTGGCTGCCTATGTCTGGGAATGGGGATGTGTGTGACTGCTGTCTGCCTGAATCCCTAGAAGACGCACTGAGACATAGAAGGAGGAGATCACAACCACAGCCAAACTCATAACCACAATTACGAGTGATGCCTAGGTCTGGGTCATAGCCAGTCACAAGCGAAGGCTTGGTATGACAAGGTGCTATTGTGGGAGGGGTTTGGATGGGTTCAAAGGTGTTCTTAGTCTGTTTTGGCAGCTCTACCAAGTTACCACAGAGATGATAACAATGGGAGAGGTTTGGATAGGTTCAAAATTGTTCTTAATCTATTTTGGCAGCTCTACCAAGTTACCACAGAGTTGATAACAATGGATAAAATAGAAATAGTTTTTTCAGAGTTCTAGAAATTGTAAGTCAAGAGTGAGGAGGGTACTGAGCTGGTTTAGTGTCTGATGAGAGCCCATATCTTGGTCCATGGATGGCACTCTCTTTCTGAGTCCTCCAGTGGTATAAAGAGAAAGGCAGCCCCTAGGGGTCCCTTTAATAAGGGCGCTAAATCTATTCATGAGAACTCTGCCCCAACAACCGTTTTCTAATACCAGCATACTGGCAATTAAGTTTAAACAGGGATTTTGAGAAGCATGCTCAGACCAGAGGAGCTGTAGACTTAGACACGTGCACAGCCATGGTTAGGTAAAGTTATAAGAAAAGCAATAATGGAGAGCAATATTGGCCCTGCCCTCACTGGCTAGGCAGAGCTTTAGCCATGCTGGTGACCATAGATATTATCAGAACCAAACAGTCACATAGTCTGGCCCTCTCTGTGTACCAGACATCTGCTCAGAGATGAAGCTGTCCTGGGAATCAAGAACATGGCTTCTCCCTCTGAGATCCTAGACAAGGCAGACTCTGTCAGACGAGCAGAGGGGCGGAAACTCTATGCACCAGTGAGAACCTGCTGAGGTGGACAAGGCCCAGTTGTCCATCTTTCCCATGGTCCTGTCCTTTGGATGGGTTGCCTCCAGCCCTGCTGAGGTCCTGGTGTTCCCACTGTGGACAAGGTGTGGTATTTCCGGGTTCTTCTCTGAACCACTGCTTTTTAATGTGAAATCCCTGTTCCCCACAGTGCCATCCGGATCAGCCGGAAAGGCCGGCACGCGCTCCTCAACTTCTGCTTCCACGCGGCTCTGACCTTCACGGTGTTTGCTGGTGGTATCAATCGCACCAAGCACCCCATCCTCTGCCAAGCGGTGAGTGCTGCCTTCCCTGTGCTAAAACACAGAAGTGTGCACGCCAGCTTTCTTATCAAGGTGGAAGCGAATGTTCATTTCTAAATAATACCTTAGTGTTTCTTCAGATGGTGCCCCTGAAGGGGACAGTGAGGTTTCTTTAGTGGGTCCGTATTCTAATCCCACTCCTTCTGAAGCAGGTTGTTTTGCTCAGTACTTGGCCATATGAAACCATTTTATTCTTTCCTACATCAATTTGTCTGAGGACTCGTGGGCCATATACCTAGACATACACTGTCCAGCAAATGGTGACCTTCACAAGAAAGGGGACAGGATGTCTCTCCTGAAGATCAGTGAGGCAGGACCCAGGGGTGGGCTGAGTGAGACCTTCCAGGTGCTAACCTCACGTTTCCAGCAGATCTGCCAGCCATAGGTACCGGTGGTAGCAGAGGCTCCATCCCTGCATGAGTCAGGCAGAGCACCCCCAGGCATCTCTGTTCTCTCTTAGGGAAGGGGGAGCTTTGAAACACCCAGCATGGCAAAGACTATCTCAAATCACAAGGCACATTGCTGTCACACACGTGACCTGGTTTGACTGGCTTAAACTGGGAAACAGAAATAACCTGTGAGCCCCGACTAAGGTGAGGCTAGGGAGCATCCTTTCCAAGTAAATCCCAGGACTGTCCTGTTGGGTTGTAACTCGGGGCCAAGGAAGAGAGCCCTCTGCACCTGCAGCAGGGAGTCTGTGTTTGCCCAGCCCCCAGAGCTGCTCTACACCTAGGCTCCATGAGTGAGGTCAAGCAGGGACTCAGAGACCCAGAGTAACTCACCAACGACCTTGGTGGTTTCTGTCATTCATTTTCCCTGCACCATGGGTCCTCAGGTATCCCTCACTGTTGCGAATAGCTATTGGCCGCTGCAGAAATCACCTGCAGCCAATACCTGAAGACCACAGGACCCACATTAATGACAATAGCCATACTAACTGGTTCCTTCTGCCTTTCCTGTGACCTGCAATCCTTCCTACATGGGCAGCTAGCTGAAAGTGAGGCCTTATCTTGTGGATCAGTGGGTTAGCTATAAGAGAACACACCCTCCTAACTGCCTGGTTCCCACAGACCCACCTAGCTCGGGCAGGCTCCAACTGAGTCAACCACTGCTACTTTGCTTCCCCACACCGATGCCATTTGAGACTCAGAGGGGTCTGTGAGCATGACACCTACACCTGAAAGACAACCAATGCTCTAGTGCCCTGGGCATCAAATGTGTGACTATGTGACACATTCAACCCTGAGAAGCCAGGCCACTCCCCAGGCCTGGGCCAGACAAGCGGAAGAGAGAGTACCACATGCCTGAATGGAAGGGAGAGAAGACGGCTTCCTCCGTGGCTGCCTCCGTTAAGCTGGACACAGCCACAGCGAGGGCTAGGAAACCCCACTCGCTCCTGTTGTTAAAATCCTTGTCCAGAAGCCACAGACAAGGCAATTGAGGGGGTTGTTAGCTTTATGTCTTTACTCTGCCACCAAGTGCTGCACAGCTGGGGCCTGCTGGCCACACCGTCCATTGCAATAATATTGGTGCTTCCATGAGGTCCAGCACTGGCCCAAGGCTCAGGCCAGCCCCATGAAGTCCCGGAAGGTAGGCATCCGTGGCATTCCAGAATTCGACAGGTGCAGGACCGGAAAGAGAGCTTTGGTCAGTGGGGATAAACCGGCCTGGAAACATCCTCCCAGCTAAGATCTGAGAGGGTCATGCCCAGGTGAGAAGTCCTTAGTAACAATGCTGGGACTCCAGATGACGGACGGGTCCCCGTGTGCTAGAGCTGGATGGACCGCAGAAAGCAGCCACCTTCTGGTCTCCTGTGGCTTTTCCTGGAGTGACCAATCTCTATTCATCCCTTACTTGGCAACACACCTTCCAGGCCCAGGCAGGGTTAGGGATGTGGGACCAATGGAAACACGTCTGCCGGGCTATGTTGGGAGAAGCTGTGAACAACAGACTAAGGAGAGAAAGAAAGAGCCACAGGCAGGTGAGCTTTGGGGGACACAGAACGGCTGCAAGGGCAATGGAGAAGTGGCGGGGGGGGGGAACTCAAGTAAAGAAGAGCTGAAGGGTGAGGACCTCAGTTCCCACAAAGCACTCTAGAGGTGACAATCTCCACCGCACCAGGACACTTAATTCCCCATGCCTATAAGGAGAAGTAGGGTTGTCTATGTCTTCTGAGGCCTCCCTGAGCCAGAGGCCAGGCTGGCTTTAATCAGAAGCCTGCTAGGTCAGGAGCTGGCCCAGCTCACACAGCACAACTGCTCCCTCACCTGCCAAGAGGGAAATGGCTGAGAAGGAGCAAGCTAAAAGCAAGCTCACTGAGAGCTAGACGTGGGCCCACGTAGATTAGCAACCAGGTGACTGAGTACAGGAGCCCCAGCCCCTCCACATCCAAGCTCAGCATTGCCACAAAACAGCCAGGAGAAGTGGTCCAGAGCTCTGGATGGCTAGCCAGAACAGACAGTTGTCATAGCAACAGAAAGATGACCGTGAGTCTCATTAAAGTACTAAGTGACATCATAAACAAAGCAGACGGCTGCTGTGAGTCCCACATAATGAATGTGCGTCAGTGCTGGCCCTGGGTCCGGAAGCAAGGGAGGGTGCCCTGCCTGCTTCTTCCTTTCAATAGCACAAGCTGTCTGGAAGCCAGGCGGCGGCTCCCTTGACCTCCCTGTGTGTTCTGCCTCAAGCTGGTGTTTAAGAGACAGAGCCTGCCCTTTGTACATCTTCTCCCACTCCCTGATGAGACTCAGCTTAAGGAAGGATGTAGCCAGGCCTCCTCTCTCTCCCTCCTCCCAGCTGGGCCACCCACCTCAAGGCCCTGGGCCAATGTCTCAAGACCAAAGTCGGGAGCCCTTCTGAGGATGAGTCGGACATTTCTGTTTGTATATGACAGTGACAACCACACTACAGACCTTCCTTCAAGCAGGGGCTGCCCGCCCCTCTTCTGGGTGCCCTTGCCCTAAATTCTTAAATGACAGATGGCTCTTGACACTCAGGTCCAGGACCCCGTACTCTCATCCAGGAGGGGTGAGCTCAGTGTGCCTGGGATGTCCATAAGGCTCAGCTCACCTGGGCAGCAGCAAGACCAAGGGAAAGCTGAACTCATAGGTCACGTTGTGCTGTACCTATGAAGCCATCTGAAACCACAAACAGTTCTTCAATCTTTCTACCCCCCCCCCACCCCGTCCCAAATCCTCATCAATTATTATAGCATTTACTCATAAGTAAAAACTGAACTCTGGATTTGATAAATCATTATAATGGCGCGGTGTTAGCTTTATTCAGGAAATCTCCGTATTCCTTAAACATTTATGTCCTTTCCGATTATAGCAATATTTTACTTGTCATTTCGAAATGTCAGGTTATTACCTCAAAGGTAGCCTTATTTTATGGAATCAGATGGAGATGAAGCAGTGCGGAATGCGTAATTAGCTAGCGTAAAAGCGCTGGATGGGACTGGCTCCAGCGGCTGTTTCCATAGCAATGAGTCCCTCTGCCGTGCAGGCGCAGGTTATCAGAGCCTCGTCCCGGAGGCGCCTTTCCTTAAATTCAGTGCCATAGTGAATACGTGTTGGGAGTCCTGCTGTACAATTGTGCCTGCCTTTCACTTGGGGACCCTAGAGAGGGGCCAGAGTTCACAGGCAGCATAGACGTCCTGCAGAGGGGGGACCAGTAATGCAAGACCACGAGCTTCTTACAGGTTCACATACACAGCAAGCAGCGGAACAGTTTAAAAGTTTTGGCTGCCCTGACACATCCCTTACCTGTCCTCCTGTTGGCCTCATTTTTTTTATTGTCCCTAAAGAGTTTCAGAGTAGCTGTCAGGGTTCAGGACCCTTCCAGCACAGAGTCTGGGCGGCATGTGCACAGGGACTCTGCTGTGCAGTGCTGTGCTGGGGCAGGTGGCTGGAGGAGGTGGCTGGCTGACATTCTCCCCTCCCAGGTGGGCATTGCACTGCACTATTCTACGCTTTCTACCATGCTGTGGATCGGAGTGACTGCCAGGAACATCTACAAACAGGTGACCAAGAAGGCCCTGCCATGCCCAGGTGCAGACCAGCCACCGTACCCCAAGCAGCCCTTGCTCAGGTATCCAAGAATGTTCATGGGCCCCTCCACCACCTGAGCCCAAGAAACCCATAACCCTGGACACACCGGTTATGTGTCCTGCAAACCTTCACCAGATTCCAGGCTGGAGATGGTCTGGCCTGCAGAAGTGACCTGAGGGTTGGACAGAGCTATGAGGTGGCACAGTCAATGGGGGAAAGAGTCTGGGGGCAGGAATTGGGAGGCACTGTGATGAATATGGGGACCAGGGGTAACATGGGATAGTAGAGCAAAGTTCTGAAGTTGTAGACAGTGACTTCTCGTTTGTGCCTGGCCGCCCAGACCCAAATAATCGCACAGAAACTATATTAATTACAACACATTTTGGCCAATTGCTTATGCATATTTCTAGATAACTCATATCTTAAATTAACCCATTTCTATTATTCTGTGTATCACCACAAGGCTGTGGCTTACTGGGTAAAGTTCTGTCTGGCGTCTTTCTCTTTGGGCTGCTACATGGCATCTCTCTGGCTCTGCCTTCTTTCTCCCAGCATTCAGTTTAGCTTTCCCGCCTAGCTCTATTCTGCCCTGCCACAGGTCAAAGCAGTTTCTTTATGAATAAAACACATTCACAGCATACAGAGGGGACTCCTACATCATGAAGTAAGATGGGTTCAGCTATGGGGGTGAGGCTAATACAGGGACAGAGACCTAGGGTAGGTCTGGGGCAAATTGAAGGTCAGGGCACTGACAATAGTATCTCTGGCTGGAGCTTGGCTGGTCTGAAGACTTATGTCCCTATAAATGCATGGGACACTGAACTGCCCAGTTACTGGTAGAAGGCCCTCCATACTCCTGGAGTGACCACACATGGTGACCGGGCATTTGTGAGTTTGGTTTGCTTCTTGGTCTCAGTGACGCTAAGACATATGTAGATATGTACTTTCTGTACACACATAGCAACACACATCCACAGGTACATAGCCATGTGGATACATGTTATCCATGTATACACACATGTGCATGCCCTCCAACAGGTTCACACTCTCAGCGGGTTCATATCATGTGGAGGTGCAGGTTCAGAGACTTGAGGGGTGTCTGCCTCGTTCTCCACTCAAGGCCTGCTTCCCTCTGCTGGCTTCTGACCCAGCCTGGTGCTGGTAAGGGAACTATTGCACCTGACCCTTCTCAGAGAAACCAGAGGCTAAGAAGGAAGGAGGGAGTCTTTCGCCTCAGACCCCACAATGGGCCTTCTGATCCTGGATCTTCATTGTTAACTTTACTGAATGGAGACATGTTTGAGACCAGAAGACTACATCTGGGTATGTCTGCGAGGACATTTCCAGAGATGACTGCTACACCGTGCAGTAGATGACAAGGAAAGGGCCATGGTGAGTGTGGGCAGTGGTACCCAATTAGACGGGGGCCCAAATGGAGCACGATGAGTAAAGGAGGGCACCAGCCACACTTCCTCAGAGGGTACATTTGTTTTGGCTGCCATGGCCCATGGACACCAGACTCCATCTTCTTCAGCCTTTGAATGTAATCACAGCTGTGACTCTGCAGGGGGCTTTCAGGTTTTCAGCCTCAGATAGGGGCCTCACTGGTCCCTCTTGTTCTAAAGCTTCCAGTCCCTTGAACTAAGCAGCTGGGGGCTCCTCTGTCTCTCTAGCAGGCAGACAGCCATTGTTGGACTGCCTAGACCCTATCATGTGAGTCAGTGCAACAAATCTTTTTATATTCTTAGCAAATGCAATAACTTTAAATATATACACACAGGCATGCATCCTATTGGTTCTGTTACTCTAGAGAACACTGGCTGATACATCCTCCATATCTGGACCAGAAGTCTCTAACATGCCTTCCTTGATCCAACATCTCACTCAGGTGTCTCTACAAGGGACTTCACAATGGACATCTCTCTGAATTTGCATCCTGCCCTGGTCCCCAACCTCAAAAGTGCATAGCAACATTCACTGAAATTGGTTCTAGAGTCCCAAGAACTGCACAGTCCCAGGGAAGGACCCCCAAAGTGCCCACCAGGTGTATGTCCTGCTTAATTGACTTCTGGACAGAACACCCGTACCCCTTCTTACTGGACCCTGGGCCACTACCAGCAGAACAGTAAAATTCCATGGGTACAGCCAGTGAGCTCTGTCTCCCACAAGCAAAGGCCATGCTAGCATAGCCCACAGGTTTTCAAGATGAGGCTTCCAGGAGAGCCCAGGACACACTGTTGGAACTGTCCACATTTCTAGCAACCTTCCTGTCCTTGAGGTGGCGCTGCAATCTCGGTAATCTCAATACACTCCATGATCAACTTGGTGGAGACACACCCGCCTCAGGGAGACTCTGAAGGAAACTCCAGCCTAGAAGATGCATAGGACTTAGGCAATGAGTCCTGTCTGTATGAGTGCTGGGTACGATCCAGACTGTGTCATTGGGTGACAGAGTGAGGGTTCTGACTCCTTAGAGCCCCCACGTGTGTATTACTGTCGTTTCAAGGAGAGGGAGGGATCCACAGAGTTCTAGAAGAGACCAGCTGAGCGGGCCTCATTGCCAAGGTTGACCCAAAATTTGCTCTTCAACCATCATCGACATTGGTAGTTTCCATGACAACAAAAAAGACTAGCCTCTCAGTGGGGATTCTGTGACTTTAGATCGTGATTCACCTGGTCTCATCTCCCCTCACTCTCTAGATGTGCACGTGACCACGCATGCGCACTTGCGCGTGTACGTGCACACACACACATACAAGATTAAGGGGCACACTGAGAAACCTGTGGCTAGCCAAGCTCTCAGAGAATGGCCATTGGGTAGGTGGAGAATGTGGAGAAGCAGCAACCCAGGTCTCTTCCTCAACAGTGGGGTGCCTTGAAGAAGGCATAACCAGCCCTGCTGCCTGCCAACAGGGTCCTGGCAGGGGCCAGGCAAGTGGATGCTCAGTCATGGAGCATGTGTCCCAGAGGCAAGCCATGGAAGACCAAAACCCCACGAAAAGATAGGTCAGGTGCTCACACAAGCTCCTAGCACTGGCCTTGGGCAGTCGGTCGGTCTTTTCAGTTCAGCCTGCAGTGAGGAATGGTGTGACCTGCAGACCATGTAAGGAAGCACCATCATGGTCACAGGAGGGACTGAGGTTTCGATGCCACAGACACAGCCACCTTTCCATGTATGGCAATCGGCAATCTTCAGCTTCCCCCAGAATCCCCTGTAGTTTACAACACAGAAGCCTTGGGCCTCCTTGTTCACATCTGTTTTCTTAAGTGCATTTTTCCTTTTAAACGTTACTATAACTAGGTGTGGTAGCTCATGCCTGTACTACCAGAACTCAGGGGGGCTAAAGCCTGAATTATCAAAAGCTCAAGACCAACTTGAGATACGTAGTGCATTCCAAGCCAGCAGGGATGACAGGGTGAGACCTTATCTCAAAAAAACAAAAAATTAAAAAAAAGTTACTATGAATTAAGATCTTCTTAATTTTCACTTCTAATTGCTCCGTGTTTGCCTATGGAGATACAACTGGATTTGTGTGCAGATCTTGTTCCTATAGCTCTGATGATGAGTTCTCTTATCAGCTTCAAAGGTTTTTTTTGTTTTTTGTTTTTTTTTGGTTAGGTCCTAGGAGTTGTGGAGTTGTGTGCATGTAATGATTGTGTCATTGGTGCCTAACAACAAAGTTGCTCCTCCCGTGCTAGTCTGAGCCGTTCCTTTTCTCCTGTCTGGCTAACTCTTCTGGCTATGACTCCAGGCCAGCCTTGGCCTTTTCCTCCTTTCAGTGGAGCACACGCTTGCCAAGTTTGTCAAGCATTCTAAAGAGGCGTCCCTCGGGGTGCCCACTGTTTCCATCTTGCTTTCTGTTCTGTCATCTCTGCTCTGTCCTTTCTTCTGTGGACAGGTTTGTTTTGCCCCTCTTCCTAGTTCCTAACCATGTGAAATTGGGGGCATCATCTTTCATTAAAATGGCTCTGTCATAGCTGTAGGTTTTGTGTGTGTGTGTGTGTGTGTGTGTGTGTGTGTGTGTGTGTGTGTGGCTTTGCCAGGTCCCCAAGGCATAGTGTGTGGTTGTTCATTTATCTCCAAATCATTTCTGGTTTTCCTCAGTATTCCTTCCTTGGTCTTTGGTTACTTAAAAGGATGCAGTTTTATTTTCACAGATTGTTAGACATTAGGAAATGGGAGAAACTGTCTGAAAACTTGTGGAGACTTTTCTTTTAGTGATGATTGGAATGAAGAAATTCCTGGCTTGGTCACAGGTACTGGTGACATTTTAGCTGCTCAGACTCTGCAAAGAGATCTTTGCTATGACCCAGAGTCGAGTCTCACTCCTTTATCATGTTCAGAAAATTCTATGTGTGCCCAGTGGCTCTGCAGCCAGGGAAGGGGAAAAACAGGGCTGAGAGTAGATGTCACATCTCTTCCCTCCCAGCTAAGTCTAGGCTGTGCCCAGACTAGCCACTTCCTGCTCTGTTGGAGTGGAAAGGGGAGAGTGGGGAGTGGAGCTGTGTCGTGTGCTCAGTGGGGACTACAGCCTCTAGAAGGTACCAGGCATTGAGGACCCTGATCAGAAGCATCCAGACATCATGCAGTAGGCCCAGAGCCTTGATGGCAGTCTCTGGCACAAACACAACTGGAGATTGAATGCAGATTGCATTCCTTCCTTCGTCCTATCTCAAGCCTCGGTGGGTTAAGAAACCATCAGTAACAAAGAGAAACATCAGGGAAGCCCAGGAGCACAGAGTCTTGTTAGGGAACTGGAGGGGCCGCTGACAAGGATAATCTGGCTTTGCTATTGAGGGGAGGGTGACCTTAAACTGGCCTAGCATAGGGGCAGAATGAAGCAGACATAAAGAGAAGGTTATGCCGGGAGAAGGGAAGTGAGAGGTAGAGAGGGAAGCCTAAGAAAAAGCTGAGTTGCCTGGTTGAGGGGCACAGCAGGATTGGGCATAGCCCACCCACCTGCTGAGAGATGCTGTGCCACCTATGCAGGGCCTCTACTGATTCGGAGAGACCCAGTGTAGCCAAACGTTCTATCTAAG